GACTAAACGCCGGGCAATATATTGGATAGTTGGCCATTATATTCGTCTTGAATTTTATGTAGAATGTCAGTGGAACTCTTGTTTTGGGTCTCCTCGAGGTATGGTAATGCAATGTGCAATATTAAAAGTGGTTTCTGTATATGCTTAAGCGCAATGAAAACAATTTCTTTGGAGCATTTGACTGACGAAGATCAAAAACGTAACTACGTAGGGCGGGTGTACAGCAGCTCATTAAAAAACTTGAATAATATATTTTAAACCGCAWCTTTGTAGGACACCCTTATCAGAAACCAATAATATTATTAATAAAAATTAACACCTTGAGGAATTTTAATTCTTTAAACAACTGTTTCCAATTAGTTCTCGCACTTAATTCGCCTTCTATATTGAAACGCATTTATTATTTGGGGAACAAATAAAAGAACTTTAAATTGACAACTACAAAACCGGATGAATTTAGTAGTAAATAGAGTAACAYGAACAATTCAAGACTTTTAGAAWTATAAATAACGGTATTTTAAAAATTGTATCATTATACTCATCAGCCACCTACAAAAAAGAGAGCGTTTCTAATTAGCTGTCAACGGCTGTATGTGCAAATATTTGTATACAATTATGCAATGTTGAATCTTCTTAAAATTTTGTCATATATTAAAGTTTTTTAGATCTAAGCATGCAAAAGTTTTGAATATTCTTTTGTACTAAACGAAAGAAACCCCCCGCTGAGTGGATTTCTCAGCGAAGGCATCATCAATCACATTCAAAAATTCTAAAACACAAATTTTGAAATTCCTGCGCAAATACCAGCAACAGAACTAAATAATCCAATCAAATGTAATCCGAATTACTATTCATTTATGCACTCTAAGAAACTTATTTGCAAGCCTCTGGCATTGAAATACATACGAAGTTATTCCTGCATTCTAATTCTTCTCTCTTGTGCGATTACAATTCCTATTCGACGAAAACATGCTTTTGTAATATTTTTCTTCGAATRCCGCATACAAAGACGCATTGAATTATGCATGTGTGCGTACATGCGTAACTGCTTATGTTCGCAGCAATTTCTTTAATCTCAAATCAATTTACTYCGTCTGTCTATTTCACATTCAATATATGGATTTTCTCCTACAAATAGCCAGCTCAACAATATGTTTTGAAAGTGTCATTGAAGCGCTTTTTGTTTATCTACAAGCATTTGCTCATAAGCCGCACATTTGTTTGTGTAAATCGCCTGAATATAACACGGAGACAGACAAAATCATAAACCCTTCTCTGAAAGACATAATCATCAAACGWATTCTGTGAGAATAAACGAAATCGCTGCATACCATATAAAAATAAGGCCACCCTTGGAAGACTAAATTAAYGCMTTCAGTATAAAAATAACGAAAAATAAAAATGGTACGAATTCAATTTCGAATGATAATGAAGAAGCTTAATCGGTATATGAAAAATATGTTACAAAGCACCTTACACTTTGCTCACAATAATACATACACGAATTTTTGGTTCAATATCATTGTTTTTCACTTTTTAATTTGATGTGCTTTAAAAGTGTGGTTTTTAGTTTTTTAAGCTATATTTAACTCCAGATTTTTTATTTTGATGTGAGAAATATCAAGATAGTTAAAATATTAACTGTGTCAGCTTTAAAACTCTTAAAGCATTAGGCACATCTATAAAWGTCGTGTCTTCTTATTGACGCATATTTTGGTGAGTTCAACCGGGCGAAACTGTCGCCACAGTTGTGTGGCGCATATCATATTCTAGCTATTGAAATACCTGATGTCCTCGAACAGGTGGTAGCTGCATTATATCACCAAAGAATAAAACATTTATACCACCAAATCAAGCGCCCGGTCACTTCAGTTGGCGCAAACGAGAGTCGATCGTGCAAAGAAATTTCGTTTATAAACAGAAACTCAATCTTTTGCCATAACTGGCGTATTCCACTCAAATAGTTTAATTTAAACGAATTTCTCGATATGGAGAGGTCTCTTTTGCATTATTCAGTTTCCATGGCACTTCTTATGGGTAATATTTGTGCGCTGTAAGAAGGCGATCACAAGTTTATGCAGCTCACCAAGCAGGACATCAGAGAGTTGATATGAAAATCCATAAATTAACACATTAATTTCATTAATTACTTATGCCATTACTGAGGTTTTATTTAAAGTTTTTTGAGGTTTTGAAAGGATGGGATGTGTATCAACATGAATTTTGAGCTTTGCTGATTCTGCCCATATACTGTCGGAAAGGTCAGAGGAGTCTCACGGAGTGATTAGGGCTGCGGAAGTCGTGCAGTTCGCAGCATATGTATATCGTAGGTTGTGCCATTTAAGGAGCCGCAAAACCACCGAAAACTTCTCTCGATTAAGCAACGTTGTATGATGCTTGCATGTTTGTCGGTATGTCGGTTTTGTTAGGTGCTCTCTCCCTTGAACAGATTGTCAGGTCAAGAAGGCGCTTACGTATGTCACTGCTGCTGCAGTATGATTGGATTTCCGATTTTGATGTAGAGAGGATTGGGAGTAGTTAGCAAAACCGTTGATTAATAGCAACAATCGGGTGACATACGAGGACATTCGGAACGTCAGTGCCAGTGTTTTTTGCTCTGCATGGATTCTTTTGTGGTGTTTGTGTAGGGCACAGGTCGAGAATTGGGTGCAGAATGCTCGATGTACTCGATCATTAGGAATCTGGGTGTTATGAGAATTAGCTGAACTGATGGGCATTAGGGATGTTAGCATTGTTATCTTCACTAGGCGCAATGCGTTACAAGTAAGGTCGTTTGCGCGTGAATTGTTGAAAGCAATACAGAGGTTTTAGATGGACCTCGAACCCTACCAAGGAGGTTAGTGTGCACCGAAGACCCTATTACAGTTATTTAGCAGTGTATCAAAGATCCGAATGAATTTACCAATGCGCGCCACAATTTTTGCCCAAACACCATATGGAAGATTTATGGAAGAATCTTAGTTTTCAATAATGGGAACGAACGATTATTAAGTGTCTCGCAAGTATATTGAATTGGTCAAATGGCACCTTAAATTATTAAAATAAATTATCGTATTTGTAGTGATGATAGTCAAAGAGCTATTGTTCAGACGTCGTTTTATCCGCAATAAGGCATTACTGGATGTGCTCTAATAGGAGATAAAATTTGCATAATGCTACGGAGACAATAGTTACAAAAGCTGCAGTGGGAGCTATGAATCATGCACAAGTATTAATTACTATTTACATGTACGCATAAATTTACTACCAAACTTTTACTTTTTAAATATACTTAAGTGTGCCACTACAMTTACGTGAATTGAAATAACCCGGATAAGTCATAACAAAACTATAAACTCTACTAATTGCAAACAAGGTAGAGCGGAGCAGCTGTACTTAACGGGCAAACATTGTAGAAGCAGCAAGCTGCCACTTCAAGTTTCATCTTGAGAGTCACTCCGTTTCAAATAGTCAATAAATAAATTTCAACTATGGAAATCTCTTAGTAATTTAGCCAGTGTTAAGTTACGAAGCGAGCAATTTTGTTTGTGAAATTGAAATGACTAACACCCTTACAAAGTAACGTAGCAATCAGAGTTCTCATTACATAGTATTGTGCATGGATTGAAAGGAATACATGCGAAATTGCCTTTGTTGAGCTATATTYATAAGCGTWTTTTTTGTTGCGAAAGCACACGTGAGTTAGGCTTGCCGATAATATCACTGAATATTTCAAAAAAATATTACACCCAATAATGAATAGCTGGATAYAAGTGGAAGTGAAACATCTATGCCAAAAATATTTTCTCAAAATATACTTAGTGATTTAATATATGATCAATTTATGTAAGCTTTGGACGTATATTTTTTATTTACGTTTATAGAAAATTTTCCTTGCTTGGTATAAAAAAGTTAAATCGTACAATATTTGTTGTTCCTCAAATGTGACAAATATTATGACTGTTCCGGAAAGGGAAGCTACAAAAAGTTTAGTGTTGATAAGAATATTTTATTGCCCGGTAACCATAAATTGTGCAACATTTGCAGACAAATTCAACAAGCAAATACATATACCATAAGTACCAAGTGAGACTACGTCCACAATTATCAGCATAAATTTTCTAATAGTTTAGAAAAATGTAGTGAAGAACAGTKACAGCGGTCTAAAAGAAATGTAGGAGAGTTAAGAAGGTTGATAGGGTCATCCATTATGAACTGAGGATTGCAGCGCGACCTAAAGTCTACTGTGTCCTCTCCTAAATTACAACGACTCACTTAGCCCTAGCATATTGATAAATTCCAATATACAGCTAGGTGCTATTGAGGCGATATGATCCCTTTACAAATGTATCTTATGATGCGACTAATGAGTTGAAAGTATTTTATTACGAATTAGTACCMAATCCATAGCAAATTACAAAGTTTCAAGTCTGGTTTTAAACTCTGAAGTTGATTTAATTTCCAGCATTATGTACTCACTGAAGACACATATTCCATCCTTCACCTAACAATAGGCTTCATGTGCAGTTATAGCCCTGACTTGGAAGCGTAAATTTCGTTTACCTTTTWTGTGACTTTATGTGACTACAGAACATTTTCAATTTCTAGGCTACTTTCCAAATTTCATGTTTTGCTTCAGCGCACTAATCARAAACATGTTTAGGGGTTTGGTGCCAACATAAAATTATGAAACTAAATAAAAATTTCGATACATTTCTTACATGTCATTAAAATTTCTGGGACGAGATGAAACCATATTTTGTTTTTATATTATATGCATGTGAACGCAATAAATTCGAAGCAATAACAATATGCGCATACATATATGTRTGTATAGTATATATAAATAAATGCATGTGTAGTCCTTTAACAATATTGTCCTTTGTTCTCCACTGTCTCTTGCAGCCGCCGTTGTAGTGACCTTTTTCATTTGCTGGCTGCCATTCCACATGCAGCGCTTATGGTTCCTCTATGCCAAAGAACAAAACAATTTCGAAGAGATAAACGAGTGGATGTTCTCCATCGCCGGTTTCACGTACTATGTGTCGTGGTAAGTACACCGATAAATTTCCAAATTTTCAAATATTTTATTTTAGACTGACTTTTACTTATTTATGTGCACAAAAATCTGTATAGAGATGTATAAAATATACACATATATATATATGGTATATTGTGGTTCCATATGGATGTTTACCCTTCATTTTAAGTACTTCATCTCTGGTGAGCGGAGGGCAGCAGAAAGAGTGAATGTGTTTGCAAAATAGTTTTTGTCATGTTTGCTCTGATAAAACCGTTCAAGTCTCTTTAGCTGCAAAGAGAAACAATGTACTGCAGTAACAATTAGGAAGCAGATAAAAACAAAACTGTGTAAATAAGTTGTGGTAAATATTAGAGAAGCTTAGTTGTGGAAAGCCATTTCTACATCAGTTGGGACCCAGACAGCCATTTATCACAAACGCATATACAAACAGATGCTAATGGTTAAATTTGTTTGAAGATTAAAGAGTTTCTGTTAATACCGGCAAACAGTGATAAATGCCCACGGCAGATGCAGCTGTTGGGTTGTCGTAAATCATAAGACACCTGTATGTACTTARTCAAATCAGTAAAAGTAGCAAAATGCTTTTAATCTTCGTTTAATAACCTATATTAAGYTATKAAATATGTAAAAAATAGTATATATGGAACAAAGGTAGACAATATGTTAAGAGYAAAGGAGGAGAGAGTATAAGAGGACACATGACTTTGGGAGTAGAGAAGGAGGGCTTTGCACTAAAACTTGGTATTAAAAAATGTCAAGAAATACACATTGGRTRACAGCARCTTTTATATACCYTGAACAGGGTATATTAAGATTGTCACGAAGTTAATAACACACAGAAGGAAACGTCGGAGACACTATAAAGTATATATATATAAATGATCAGTATGTATGTTGAGCTGAGTCGATTTAGTCATGTCCGTCTGTCAGTCCGTATGTCTCTCTGTCTGTATATATAAGAATTATTCCCTCACTTTTTAAGATATCGTTTTGACATTTGGCAAACGTTATTTTCACTTCACGAAGCYGCTTATTTATCAGAACTGCCGATATGGGACAACTATAACATATAGCTGTCATACAAACTGAACGATTGGAATTAAGTTCTTGTATGAAAAACTTTCACATTTGACAATGTAGCTTCACAAAAGTTGGCACATATTATTTTCTAAAGCAAGAATGTAATCTCCGAAGAAATWATTCAGATCGGTTAACTATAGCATRTAACTGCCATACAAACTGAATGATCGGAATCAAAKGCTGGCATGGAAAACTTCCTCATTTGTAGATATATCTTCACGAAATTTGGTGTGAGTAATTGTTCATAGAAATAATGTAATAACGAAAGAAATTGTTGAGATCGGCTCAATATAGCCTATAGCTGGAATACAGACCGAACGATCGGAATCAAGGACTTGAATGGAAAACTTTCGCATTTGAAGTGGTATTTTCACGGAGTTTGACATGGATTACTACTTAAGGTAATAATATAATTTCTGAAAAAATTGTTCAGATCGGTTAACTATGGCATATAGCTTCCATCTAAACTGGACACATAGTTACTACAAAAAAGTCAGAAGTCTTGACACTCTACCCAATTTTCAACGGTTTCAAGCATCAATCGGCCGATTCTGCCGCAATTTCACGTACGATCGCAGAAATCATATTCTTGACGTAACCCTACAGGAAAAATTGGCTTATRGCGCCGTCATGATGGATCCAAATATTGTGCAAGTCCATATTATCCAATTCGGGCCAAAAAATATTCAGTTATAATTATGCGGTAGTTTCCCATTCACCGTAACATGATGGTCTTGATCAGTACCAACCAATCACGCCGCTGKSCTATAAACYGCACCAARCCATAATTTTTTTAGAAGTACGTATAGATTGCTGYCTGACCAATAACGCATATTTTGCTTAATGGCGAAGCTATTCAGGCAGAAATGAGCCTCATCGCTAAAAATGGTTTTCCGATGAAAATCCGGATAATTTTTAAGTTGTTGCCCAGCCCCATTCTCGGACATACGACGACTCTGAGGATCAAGTGGTTTTAGTTCTTGCGTCAATTTGTTCTTATAAGTAGTTGTAGGCCAAGATCTTTTCGCAAAATTCGCCACAATAACATCACAGAGATGCYCAACATTTGATAGCGACATGTGAGGTACTCATTTGGGTCTTCCTCAATTAATGCGCACGGGAACATTTTGTACGGTACCTGTGGATTCAAATTTTACCACTAGATGCTCAATTGTTGATCTAACAGAACGATTATAACTACCATAACATATTGGACGTAGCGCTCTTAAAAATGAGACCACTGCCTACCAATATCGATAGTTAGTTTTAAATATTTTTTCGCTCTTTGTTGGATCGTATATTTCCATGATAAAGTGGCAAACCATACTGAAGAAAAATKACAAATGTGCGGGAAAAAACAAGACGACGTTTCTATCGGTCTTCTTTTATAGCTTCCTATTCAAACGTTAACCGTAAAACGTAACATCCCGTTACGATATCACCACTTCCGTCCATAGTGACTGATTACGATTAGATTGTTGTAAATAATGTTGTGTATTTTTACATATTACATATAGCTTGCGGGCATCCGAAGTTACCTTTTTCTTTACAGTTTTTAGTATGTATGTTAATATCTTAAATAATTATTTTCAAACAAATTAATGTACACTTAAACGTTCCTTTTCCTCGTTTCTTCTTCTCTTCTCTTTTCTTTCTCTCTTCTACTCTTATTAAATACAAAAAATATCATTGTACAAATCGACGACTACAGCACGATCAATCCGATTTTGTATAATGTGATGTCGCATCGGTACCGTGTTGCCTTCAAGGATATACTGTGGGGCAAGCGGCGCAGCGTGTACTACAACAATGGCTTTGCTAGAGATCAGTCCAGCTTTCGAGAGACGATCGCTTCCAGCTTGGGTGGCGGCAATAACAGCACGTACGATCGCGTACATTCGGTAAGTGAAGTCCATTAAAATAAATAATAATAACATCTCTCCCAGTAACTCGATATATTTAAAGTCATACATACTTATATGCCAGTTCTAAGCACTTTCTGTCTGCAACTAAGTCGGTGCAGTTAAATGCAAATGATTCGTACAACAGCAACCCAAACGAACGCAAGCTGCAAGCTCGTAATTAACTAATAATTTCCCAAGCGGCTTAACTCCTACCCTTATTAGCTGCTTAGTAATATTTTAATAATAAAGCCACTGGCGCAGCAGAAAATTAGTTATTATGTGGTTATATAGATATATGTAAATGTGAGTAAAAATAAGAGCATCTAAGCCAACTAGACGAAAATTTAATTGTATCAAGTAGCTCGGTGCATATGGTTGGAAAGCGTTGGTAATTATATTTTGCAAGTTATGTTAATGAGATGTACGACTATGGCAACAGCGGTGATTTTAATATGCACAATTATAACATTTACTTTGCTTACACCGAAACCCAGTAGTATGTTCTACTTAAAGTAATTATGTCTGTTAATRTGTTTTGAAACGAGAGTGTCTTATTGTCCTATGAAATAATTGMTATCGTTTTTATTTAAAATCACTATTCGATACGGATACCAAATCAATGAATTGTAATAAATTTTACAGCCAGAGCCGAAAACATTCCGACGACTTGAAATARTTAGAAGGTTATCTACTATTTGAAAAAGAAAAAAATRAATAATAATCTAATAAAGATATCACACTGGTTTTKGACAACATTAGATATTGTAACAGGTTGCCACCTGTTTTATATTTTGTGGTCAAAAGCAATGTTAACATCAACTTATTGTTGTAGTATACYTATTACCTATTATGGAACATTAAGAGAAGCCGCAATAACAGGTCAATATAAAAGTCCACGGCCTGACACCTAGATGGCGGCCACTAAAAATAACTCAATATGTTTTTTAGTCAGTCAAACATTTAAAAGGCGCGTGTATAAGTTTGGCAGTKGTCGGTGAAAGCAGTGGACCTCCAAAAAATTTTGTTACCGCGGAAAATATAAAAAAAGTCTACAAAATATATTGTTGATGATCTCAAAGGGAAATTGTTCGATATATAATATCAACTAAGCGTGTACATCAAATCATTCTCGAATATTTGGGTAWGARAAGGCTAAGTGGGTGCCACGTRAGACCACTTYTAACCCAACACAAYGACAAGTCGACGATTCGGTGGAGTGTTTGKAGATGTTTCAGCGTAATAAACGCGATTTTTTGCGACGATATATGGCAATGGAGGAAACATGGCTCGATCACTCACTCCGAAATCCAATTAACAATCAGTAGGCTGCACAAGATGAACCAGTTTCAAAACGTGAAAAAGCGCAACAGTCAGCTAATTTAAGGTACCTTAAGGTACCAACCAGAGATATTTGCAAAGTACAGTAAAGCATGGTGGGGGTAATATAATAGTGTGAGGATGCTTTTCTGGTCAAAGAATAGGACCTATTTACAAAATAGCAGGAGACATGAATAGGCTCCAATATAAAAATATGTTAATGTTACCCCACACTATTCAAAAAAATGCCGCCAGATTGKCAGTTTCAACATAACAATGACCCCAAACACACTTCTAAAATTGTGACGGTTTGCTTTCGGAAAAACAAGTTTATGTTATAAGATGGTCCGTCCCGTCTACTTACATAAACCCGAATAAAAACTTATAGGAAACTATCAACAGGCAGATTAACAAGGAGTTCCACGGTAATAAAAACAAGCTACTTCATGCCTTGAAACGAGCCTGGTATGGTATAAATTACACACATAGTTATTAGTATTTCAACTAAATATATTTAATTCGTTGGCAGGATAATTCCTTACGGGATCATCTACGTGTTTTAGCTAAAACCTTAACTTTAGAACATGGATGAAAGAAAAAAACTGAAAATTGAATTTTTAGCAGAYATTTTTACAAAAAATATTAAAATTTCAGTGCAAATTTCGGACATTTCTTTTGTCAATAGTTGTAATCGAATCGTTCAAGTCTTTAAGAATYGTATCTCAAAGRCCTGTGTAAARTTTCGTGAAAATYGGTTTAGTAGTTCTCGAGAAATCGARAAAACGGCGCACGTAGCCTAASTAGYCACGTGCGTACAAGTTCTTAARGCTATGTTTCYGAAACTATTACTCGAATCAACTTGTAAATTTAAGACAATATTKTAGGGGTGTTGTAAACTTTAATAAGATTATGAAAAAAATCGATTTTTTAAAGCCAGTAAACCCATATAACCCCTAAATATCGATATTTCTTTTGGCGAAAAAAATATTCTTCTAATGTAAAATGCTATGACGAAATATGTATGTATGAGATTCTAGTTAGTCCTATGTCTGACATTGTATATGTAACCTTCTTTGTAACTCGATTAATTTCACGTGCTACATACAACCGTTAAGTGAACAAAGCTCTTATACTCTGTAGCAACATGTTGCAAGAGTATAAAAAAAAAGTTTCGCTTTTGTTCCCTTAACTTAWATTTAATAAAAAAGTGTGAAGTTTTTTTTAACTTCGCTTGATTACTTTTTAATTTTTTCTAAGAATTTCTAAAACATTTATATACATAAATACATACATGTTATAAATGCGAAACATTTCTTCTTAAACCTTACCCTTGAAACTCTTTGCAATGAGACTAAAAAGTTTGTAAAACTGTACAAATTGTGAATATCTACATTCATACACCGATTGAAGTATTTTTTTTGTTTTTTGTTTGTGTCTAAGCACAACACGAGCTCTTTGAATTCCCAACCCTTATCAATTTTATTTTTGTTTCTAAAAGTTTTTAAAACGGCGCGCCCATAATGCCTATCCAACTAAACACGAACTTTTYCTACAAGCGCGAAGTGAAATGAAGCGTTGTATTGAGCGTTTGAAAAGAATAAAAAGGAATTTTAACTTGCGGCGATTTTTTTTCATAGAGTCTTTTTAATTTGTACCGCAAAGGGAGGTCTGTTTAATACTGATGCAAAAGGTCCGAAACGAGATGGTTACCGATCCCGATTTTCACAAGAAATTTTATTCAGCGATGAAGCGAAATTGATTGGTTGGTTATGTTAATAAACATTTTATCGCATTTTGGTTGATAATAATCCACGAGCACACGCTTATCTAGTAATCCCAACACGCTTGGCGCCTTGGCAGAGAATCTTCAGCGCGCCAAGCTGACACACGGTCTCAATTGCTGCAAAAATCAGCAGTATAGTGGCAAAGCCGGGATTGACAGACACTATCGGTTTTGCTGTGTGTTTGGTGGGATTGGAAGGAAAKCATCCACTATGAGCTGCTCYCATATGGCCAGACGCTTAMTTCTACCATCTGCTGCGAACAACTGGACCGTTTGAAGCAGGCGATCGACCAGAGGCGTTCAGAATTTGCCAAACAGGAAGGGTGTAGTGTTCCACCAGGACAACGCCAGACCACACACTTCTTTCATGACTCGTCAGAAGCTACGGGAGCTCGGATGGAGGTTTTATCGCATTCACTTTATTGCCCGGAGATGGCACCAAGTGATTACCGCCTGTTCCTCTTCATGGCGAACGCCCTTGTTGGTGTARAGTTGAACTCAAAAAAATGCTTGTGAAAAGTGACTGTCCGAGTTCTTCGCAAATAAGGAGGGGCTTCTACGAAGGGGGTATTATAAAATTGACATCTAGATGAAAACAGATTATTGAAGGAAACGGCGCATATTTGAACTAAATCCGATCACTTAAACACTTTTTATAAAGCATTGAATAAATAGCAAAAAAGTTGAAGGAAGATATTTGACAACCTTATATAAAAATAAGTTGAGTTTTTGTCTGTTCGTTATAGCTGACGTTGAAGGTAATCCAATGAGGATGATTTGTAAAAAAAAAATCAGAAAATATTAACTTCTAACCGACTGACGAGCGTAAATTCATAAAAAACTGCATTACTTACTTATAACAGAGAATGTTAAATTTAGACAGATAATGTTATTTAACATTTAGCTTAGCTGCAACACACTGATAAGAGCGGGAGTTATAGCGTGAATAATAACAAAAACAACAGGTTTTGGATGCCCAAGGGCACTGGCAAGACGTTTCTTGCTAATTTAATACTTGCTAAAATAGGACAATCAGAGAAAATAGCGATAGCAGTTGCTGCAACTCTTTTAACGGATGGAAAAACTGCTCATTCATCTTTTAAACTTCCATTATCCATAAATATTGGCCAACAAGCAATATGTTCTATCTGCAAAATTGGGCCTTTTGATTAACTATTGCAAGACGCCTCATTGATTATGTGGAATGAATGCACCGTGAGCCAAAAAGGACATATAAAGGCCGTGGACAGCACATTAAAAGACCTTAGAAACTCCTTTGCTTGAGATTTCCGACAGACTCTTCCTGTGATTAACAAAGGTACTTGAATTGAAAAGTTGCCGAAGAAATAAAAAAATAAAAATGGATAGAGACTGTGACTAATTTCGAGCACGTAATATATGATCCCCAGGAGTTTTCAAATTCATTAAACCCTTCTGAACTGTCACCGCATGAATTGGCTTTACAAATTGAAATTTCAATTATACTTTTGAGAAATTTAAGTCCTTCAGGCACATTTCACTGGACGAGGCTGCTTATTAAAGAATTTAAGGACAATTTAACTGTAGCAACCATTATCATTGGCTAATCAACTAGCTCATATACCGAGGATAYCGATAATCCCAAGTGCAGTCCCATTCAAATGGCTTCAATTTCCGGTGAAAACATCTTTCGCCAGACTTTCGAAATAGTAGAGATCGAAAAGAATTTTTAACTGCATGTATATTGGTCTAACGCAGGACGGAGGTCCGGAAAAATATTTATATTGCTGCCATAAAATAAATTACCAACAAATATCGTTTACAGGGAAGCTCTTATTCAATAAATTGTTTTGCAGGAGCAGAGAAAGTAAAATTTCGGTATATATTTTCACAAAAATTAAAAATAAATTATGATAATATGAAAAAATATACTTTCATGTTCGAATTTCTTTCATTTAACTAATTTTTAAGAAAAAAAATTWTAACTTTTGACATGATTGTTTAATACCAGTGTGCAGCCGGGGTGGGCTGTTGGTATTTATGATGAAACTAAGTTCTTAGTCATTACATCAAACCGTATGCATTTTACTTCTTCTAAAAAGAACACCCTTCAACACCCTCCCCAGAACAAAATCTTCATTTACAATTATTTAATATTCTAACTATTGCTATTGTTATTGTTTGTATTAAAGTTTGCGAAATCAAAAAMGAGAATTCGCAAAATATTTTTGAAAATCTCGAATGTTGTGGTGAATTCAGTGATCTAAGCACTTTCTTCTCCACTTTAAGGTTCTCGTTAGACTGAAGTTAAAGCATCTCCATATTCATATATTCCCCGAACTGGGCGAAGTARACTCTCGCGACCGTTGTCGTGAGGACGAGTCAAAAAGCCAGCCTAACATATTTAGCTTCTACATAACTATTAATCCAAAATAAGGATTTCCATAACTTTTCAAAACATTTGAAATTGTTAACACAAGTAATCGCTCAGTATTCATATAGAAAATGATCGCCTCTAACTTATCTTTGCTTTTATTATTTATTTAAAATCTTATCTTCTCTCATAGTATGGTAGTCCACAGTTCTTGGTCATTACATCAAACTAACATTACATTAACTAAAGTATTGAGCTCTTTGTTTTCTCGCGTCTTTTACTATTCATATTCTAGACAATTCCTTTATCGAAGGATTGGGTTTTGCGGAAAAATACTTAGCTCTCCTAGTGTCTAAATGTTAAATCTATGCGATCTAATCAACTGTCAAAGCTGGGTTGGTGATTTATGGTGTCAATTTCCATTGATAAGAAAACTGTACATCATCTTCTTCATCTCTAGTTTTACAATGTGAAATTTATTTGATACAATAGCTTAGCTCAAAGCAAATTTTGGTCATTTATCTTATTCTAAAAGCAAAAATCTTACACTTTAAAGSCCTTTTATTTCGTTTAAGCTTAACAAATTTATTCGTAATAAGAAGATTCGCCTCCGATTTTTATTTCTATTTCTTAAAAATCATAATTTTCTACCATTCTTCTGCATTTTAGGTAAGAGTGCGTTCAATGCGGCACGCCAATAACTATAGAGATCGCAACTCTATCAAGACAAAAAATGTGCTATGGACAAAAGATATAGACTACACCGTGCCGCTTAAAAAGGTAAGGTCACAAATACAATTTAAAAAAAAAAAAAAACAAAGATAACACGTTAACTTCGGTTGCATCGAAGCTATAATGTCCAGAACAGGTGCTATTCTTATAGCAACTAKGTATAACTTTAACTGGAGACATAACTGACCAACGGTTTGCATTCGCCAGAAGACATTTTATTTAGTTAAGATATAAGAACCGATGAAAATTCTTATAACTTTGGTGTAGCGAATATTTAGCTCTCACCTAGTGACGGCTAAATCATAAAAGCCTCTGATTATCGAGTGGTCTTCACAAACACCGCCTTTCAACCAGCCGGCGATTTATTTGCAWGATGGTGTGATACCTAGTGTATTATATTTGAAAGTTGCATATATTATACTCACAACTGTGATTACATACACTTCTCATGACATTACCATACATCGGCGCATACGTTTCCTACGGCATACCAAACACGCAAAAACACGACTGTATTAACTTGTACTTTGTCATTAAAATTCCATCGCTTCTCACAAGTGAGATCACAATAATCAGAGGTAGGAAAATCCAACACATTAATAGGGTGAGCCTGAAAACTAAAATAAAATTTCCTAAGACATATCGTTTATCTAAAATCTTCGAAGCAACATTAATGGAATTCGATTGCACCGAAGCTACTATAAATCTGTTCACAGTACAAAAAGTCTTTACAAGAACATGCTTTCAATCTCAACAATTTCTTCGGATAATAACAATAACCCAGGCCGAAATTGGTGGAGATATCTCGTCAAATGAAAACGTTTTCCATACAAAGCATATATTTGATCSTTTAGTTTGTATGAAAACTTTATTGCTATATCATACTTGTATAGTTGTCCGATAACGTCAGCGCCGACAAATTGCCAGTTTCTTGGAGGGAATTGCAAAMTTTCGGATGGATATCTTCAAAAATAGGAGACTAGTTACTAGGACACGCTGATCGTTATAATTTATATAAATTTTATAGGGTCTCCAACCCTCCTGCTAAGACTTATAAAACTGCGTGGCAAACCTAACCCATGTTTTGGGTATAAAACGGGTATTTTTACCTATAAATAAATAGATTAATGAAACAGTCTAGTTTTGCTTTCTTTTCTGGCTCACCCTAATGAATATGTATGAGTTATCGGTACTTTCAATACGCTTTTCTGATACGCTTTTCTCAGCAGACGGTTAAATACTCCTGATTCTTATACGAATTGCTCGAGTTGCTTCTCCTCAGTAATGGCTTGCAGCATCTATTGTGGCATGCCACGTGTTGATGACATTTCCATTTTTTGTTGTTTCTTGCAAACTACTTACACAAAGGCAAAATTTTTCCATGCCATTATTCATTTTTGCAGTGTCTCACTGTTTCCGGTAAGTGTTGAAGGAAATGGGAAATTGTTTGTTCGTGTTGTTGTGGCCCTGCTGTTTTAAAGAATTCCAACTTGTAATTTGAATTTATTTGCCTTGGCCATGTATTCTCGGCTTTCTCGCCTTACAATGTGTAGCTCCTGTCGATGTGCTTCGGTGCATATTTAAATATAGTTCCAGACTGAAGACTGAAATGTCTGATTCTGAAGAAAAATAATGTTTATACGCATTATAATTTACTGCCAATATTCTAATTTTGTGTTTCCAAGGGGGAAGTCTTCTGCTTTTGCAGAGATATGTAAATATTGTTACTTTTACTTTCACCGAAAAATGTGTTGAATATAGAGCACTCGTTCAAAATATCACCAAAAACTCAAAATTGAGTTTTTATTGTATTTTTTTATATTAGATGTAGAATAGCTTCCACTATCAGACATAACCGATATACTATATAACCATTTTATAACCAAAACTCAAAATTTTAAATCAATCTGAGTGGTTTTTATMGTATCGTTTTTCCTTCGTCTGGCCAACTTATGAAAAGTGATGTTACCTTTTTTTTCTATTTTAGGTGATGATGTACATTTTACTGTAAAATTTCCCTTTTATACTCTAAAGCGTATTTCATCTACCCGCTCGATCCCTTCATTTATCTGCACCTGTATCTACTATTTATCGAAATTTATTACATGAGACTTCATATTCTACAGTTCGGTCTTACACCAATCGACTCAACTGTTTACCATGAAGTATTACGTCTAAGAAAAAGTACTTCATTATTTTTCCAATAGCTAGCTTTAGTAGTCTGCATCTCCCGTTATGTAGGTGCGATCGTATTAAGCGGTACGCTGTTAGAAAGCTAAGATTTCGTGCTAAAAAGCTTCTCACAGAATTATGTGATCACTTGGCTCAGTATTGCTTGAATACCCGTCAAAGATGGAGACCAGCAAAGAGAAAATATCCGACTCATTTTGCAGTTTTTCTTCGGTAAGGTAAGGAGAAAACAAAAAACCAGCGCCTAAAAATGTGACTAGCCTTTAGGGTCCTTTTCTCTTGGTTTGGCTTTGTCGAATCTTTTCGCAAAGAAGCTTAGAAAAGCTTATGACGAAAATAATGGCGAAATAAGGAAATCATCTAGTCTACTGATTAATATAAAGCTTAGAACCATATAAATTAGGCTGGATATAATAAGAAGCTCAATGTATGTATGCCGCATGAGTTAATGCAAAAAAACTCATGGTGCTAATTGCGTATCACAGCTGAAGCGCAATATATTGGATGTGTTTCTGAAATGGACGGTTACTAGCAAAGTAAAGGTCGTCACTTAGGTCAAGCAGAAATGGCCTTTTTTTTTTGTTATTTCGTGGAATTAACAGAAAATAATCTAGTAAACTCTTCTGGACCTGTACTGTGAACAATTGAACCATTTGAAGTAAGCAATCACCCAAAAGTGACCTTTAGCCGATAGAAAAGTATTGTGTTCCTTCAGGACAATGCCACCTTATAGTTTTCACCTGGCTTTAAGGGATTTCTACCCTCTTCCTTACTTCTGAGCATGGCGAATATTTTTACTAGGGATAAATGCATCTCAAGAGAAGCGTGTGAAATTCGTTTGCTACAGTTTTTGTCAATAGRGACTACAATTGCTATGGAGCTGGTATTATGAAATGACCTTGGAAATGCCAACAATTTATCGAACAGTGCATTTTCACATAAATCGGATAGTTCTAACTTTGCTTAATAAAACCTTCARACCTAAATCASATTTTYCACTAAAAAAAATTGAGAAATTTGTTGTGTTAATTTATTTCATTTTTAAACTTAAATAACTTTTCATCCTTCGTCGAAGTCCAAGTTTGCAGGGAGGCTTCCTTTCACTTCGTGAAAACCCCTGCCACGAGGTCTCCTGCACGACTAGCAACTGGCGCTCCTTAATTCACTCGCTATAACAAATTCAAGAAAGCTTTCTTCAGAAGAATTTTTAATTTTTTTTTTTTTTTTTTCAGCGAAGTCATAAAGTATGTAGACCAGTAAGAACCAAAATCCCTACCATAACATATTTGCAGTCAAGGAAAAAGCCATAGCTTTGTTGGCATAACCTAAAAAGTTTTAGAAACACAACTCACTTAGCACTTTCTTTGAATTGTACTYATATTTCTATGAACGACCATTCATAACAGCGCATTAGAAATTTTAACATAACTGGTTCCTTCAAAAGTAGCTACTTAAGTTTGGCTGCCAAACAAGAACCATTTAAAACTTGACAAACAGAAATCACAAAAAGTTAGCCATTTGTTGCACGTATTTATATGTAGTTAATTGTACTCTTCCCCTGGAGCATAATCCATAATCTTACTCAATATGCTGTCCTTAGAAGTGTACTCAAAAGACAAAATTGCAAAATTAACCATTCAAATGGAAAAGGAAGAACTAAATTTAAAGCAAATATTGCAAAGGGTAACATAAGAACAGGCTTGTTCCGAAGTAATCCATAACCATAAGGTACATTTAAACTAAATGACTAAAATTTAGTATTTCAGGAAGAATTGTGGGCATAAAAATAGGCTTTTTCACTAACCAGCAAAGCATGGTGAATATCTGGTCGGCTGTTGATTTGCCAGGTCTAAAGCTACACTGATAGGGTCCAATCGGTTTGTTGACGATGTTGAGTAATCTTATCTTACGGTAGTTGGCACAGATTGTGTGGTCTACCTTTTTGTGGATTAAGCAGGGCACACTTAAATTCCAATCGTTGGGCATGCCTTCGTCCGACCTTATTTTACAAAGAAGCTACCGCCGTATTTGAATAGCTGGGCCGGCAATCCACGGGCTCCCGCTGCTTTGTTGTTCTTCAGACGGGCAATTGCTATTCGAACWTCTGCATGGTCGGGCAATGGAACATCTGCTTCATCGTCATCGATTGGGGAATCGGTTGCACCTCCTGCCGTTATGCTATCACTGTCATATAACAGGCTGGAGAAGAGTTCCGACCATAATTTTAGTATGCTTTTGGCATCGGTTACCAGATCACMTCTGGGGGTTCTACAAGAGTATGCTCCGGTCTTGAAACCTTCTGTTAAGTTCCGAATCTTTTCGTAGAATCTTCGAGCATTACCCCTGTCGACCAGCTTATCAAGCTCTTCATGCTCAAGCATTTCGGTCTCTCTCTGTCAAACTGTCTCACTTCCCCATTCAACTCTCGGTATCTATCCCATCCCGTACGTGTTGTGGTCGATCGTAACGTTGCGAGGTAGGCAATCTGTTTTCTCTCCGCTGCGACACGGCACTTCTCATCGTACCGGTAGTTCTTTTGCATTGCCCGAAAACTAATTGTTTCATCTGCAGCTGTACGTAAGRAGTTTGGGTACCTACCTTAAAATTCGACCTTCAGAGAATTGGAAAAGTACATTCCGTGGATGAGAGCTAATTTAAAACCCAACATTGATGGTGCGTACCAAACCATTTATTAAATTAGGGTGAACTTATCAGCATTTATCAAAATTGGGCTATATTTTATTTTATATGGAAGATAGGTAAATTTTTTTTTTTTTTTTTTTTTTTTTTTTTTTTTTTTTTTTTTTTTTTTTTTTTTTTTTTTTTTTTTTTTTTTTACGTTGGTAACACTCTCCTTAATTATGATGCCAAAACTAAGCACGATCTGTCAATCAGTGTGTTTACAGCAACTGTTTATGTCAGTCGATCTCAGTGGTGTGTATTTGCTCTAAGTTTTGGTCAAACAATCAACTAATATCATTGAGCAAGCTCTGAATTTTACCTTCTCCACACTGAGATATCTACTTTGAGGAACACGCTTCCACTCAATTGAAGACATCRAAACAAATTCGACGTGAGAGCTGAAGGCCATCCCGGAAAGTGCTTATAAAAAATGTTTAACGATTGGAAGAAGCATTGGTACATGCGCATCGTTTCAAATGGATATTACTTACTTTGAAGGCAATTAATTAATTTGAATGTTGATTGAAAAATTTTCGTTTTATTTATAAATTCCCAATACTTTCTTGACAAAGTGTATGATGTTAATAAGTTGATCTGTTCATGAGCTGTTATGTAATTGAGCGTTTAATTTTGGGCGCCAACAGATCAAAAGGTAGTCAGGTTWCTCGTTTTAACAATTTTAGCACTATTGTTTTATTAACAATTGAAAACGTGATATAAACACTGAATCAAGGATTTCAATAATCCTTTTCTCATTATTCGTTTACATTCATTACAATAAAATATAATATTACAAACAGCAAATTAGCTGCAACTCAACTCGCGCCCTCTAGCTACCGGCCTGTAATTTCATTAATTAATTTCAACTGCTTTCGCATATAACTCAGGGCAGCAACGAACAGTTTATTTACTTAAAATTTGGGTCGCTAACTTCATTGGTATTTACATCAGCGCTGCAAGACTATGATAGCGAAATTCTTCTTGTGTCATGTTTCTTTAATAAAATTTGCAAAACAAACTTTTCACTTCACAACTTTGGCTGCTGGAATGCAGTGTAGCAAGSCAAGAGAAGGCAAGAATGAGTCTAAATGAAGGAAATAAGTTATTTCTCACGCAAATGTTCGATGAGCTGTCGCTTATTTGCATTATCCATTTGTATAATACTTATTCACATAATGTGTCTGCATAGCCAACAGAAGGATTTCATTTCGTAATTTCGCCTCCGCAACAGCAACAAAAGCAATTTGTTTGCAGTTACGAGTGTTCGAAGCATTTTCTTCGCCTTTCTATCTTGCTGCTTTTCAATAACTTTTCTATATTTTTGTTTACCATTGTAGGACACGCTGGACAGCAAACTAAAGTATAGCACAAACGTTGTAGTTGTTGTGGACAATGGCGGCATCAATGGACGACCCAAAGTATTTACAGAAACCGATGCGGAGGCAACACTGATGAGCAAAGATAACGAGACTTGTATATAAAGAAAGCTGGCGGATGCAACAAGAAGGCAGCTAACAGAAAATAAGTGATCGAGTGGTTTGAGTGCGTTTGCGGCACAGCGAATTTAAGCCAAAAACAAATGCACTCTCACGAACCAATGCTTTGGCGCTGTGAATGAGCATTAAAAACTAAGTCAATATGTGTGCGTATGTATGCATATATATTTTGTATATATCACATTTGTTATTATGCTAAAAGGAATAACAGTTGTTCCACTTATTTATGAGTTACAATTAGTTAGTTTACGCAACGAGTACAGGGTGTAAACAAACACTAGAAAGATCTGTGTCTATATGTAAGAAATTTGATAATTGTTACTGTCAGTGTGTATTGGCAAACGAATTTCAGAGCCGAGGCGAGTATGCAATAAGTTTGTTCGTTCATAAGTTAGTAAATAGTTTATGCAACTTTTGCGGTGCCAACAAACTCACATCCCGCGTGTGGTTACACAGAGTGCAATGTCATTCATAAAATAAAATCTATAAATTTGCGTTTGTAAAGAATTTGAATTTTTTTGAGCTACGACCTAATTTTCTTTTGACGATTGTCGAGCTTTAAACAAAAATATTTGAGCTTACCGCTTTTACGTTTAATAAAATATTGTGCAATATTTAAGCACAAAGGTTACTACAAAAGAACATTCCCAAGTCATGTGAGAGTTTATTAYGAAATATGTACTCTTGATAAATAGAAGTAAACGCGAATGTTTATAGATAATTATGATTTGTTAACTGACATGCACTGCAACCTGAAATCTCATGTTTAAGGACTCACCAAGAAACTCTTATTTTTGCTTTAATGACAGTGTTGTGTTTATAATATTAATTATAATAGTATTAATACATTGTAGTATCCTATCTCCTGAATAGGAACAAGCATAACTATAAAATTTATAATAACTTCAAATTCTGTAATATCTATCTTTAAAATGTTAATAACGGTAAATTTTTTGCAAATTATTCGTGCGGGTTTTTTCAAGCTTTAAAGGTTCGTGTATGAACATGATTAAATTTTAATTTCGGTTCCACCCAAGCTGTAATACCGTTAACAAAAAAAAAACACTCCACCACCAGCATGATTTTCGAAAAGTACACCACAACACTTAGCGTCATAAATGCGCTGATAGTCCGTGGCCTTAACCAGAAACCACCCAGTGAGAGGATGACCCTCGTAGCGTTGGACTTGACCAAAGCCTTTGACACACACAGTTACACAACGCTACTGCAGCAAATCGAAAAAAAACTTTGATCTCAGGACTCATGAGGTGGACCATGAACTACTTGAACGGTCGTCAATCGTCCGTACTATATATAAAAAATAATTGGCAACTTATAAGGCAATCGGCCGGCCGGACCTTAAATACGCCGCATCAATATGATCGCCTGGATGTAGTGAAACGCAGAAAAAGAAACTCCAGTAGTGTCAAAATTCTGCACTCCGACTACAACAATATGCCGCTTTATATCTCCTATTGAACACCTGCATAGTGAGACATGTATGCATAATTAACGAGTGCTTTTGTAGAAATCACACTTGCAGTCAACTGCTTGGAGCGGAACCTCAAGAGGTCTTTCCTCAACTACGTCGACAACATCAGATAAAACGCCGGCCGAACTTCGGACGCAACAAACTTCCGACAAACACTGACCGCCATTCACAGTGAAGCCAGCAACGCCTTCACCGACTCCCTTCCAATGAATGGAGCACTCAATGCCGTTAGAAAGAAACGAGAGTGACCCTTGCGCCGCTTCGTTCTGGATACTGTAGCAGATAAAACTAATACTTATAACGAATAGAACCGAAAATATCCAATATTAGTATGTCCTGCGTGCAAGGAGTTTTCTCATTGCATGCCTCACCCCCGCATTCATCTGACTCTCCATTTGGTCTGACCTCGCCCGGTTTACTAGAGCAGGTTCACCTAAAATTTCCACTCGAAAATAATGACTTTCGGCTGCATTATTAAGTTCGACATGTTTGTGTGAAAGAAATTATTGTTATTTAAGCTTCACATGACTGGCATACTCGTATACCAAAAGGGAGCACGGACGGACAAAAGCGGTGTATTAAACATAGATACCTGCTGACGACAGCCTTACCTCACGTCGCTCAAAAGCAGAACGTAACAAATCAATGCGTTGGTCAGCGCCCTGATGATGCCCAGCAATTTTCGGTACCAATTGGCCGAACGAACTGGAACCTAGGTAGGGTTCGAGGTCCATCTAAAATCCTTGCCGTGCTTTGGGTCCTGCACCCAGTTACAATGCAACTACACATTCAACTAACACAATATCAGTTCTACCCATATTTGGGTTTTAATCACAACCACCACGATACTCCCCGAGGGCCAATCCGCATGAACGTATTGTAGCGAATTCTGATTCTCCTGCTTCCCATGGTACCAGAATTAAGTCTCCGGTCAGCCAAAACTATAACCAGTTGAGTCTACATACTGCTCTGGGCTGGTGACCAGGGGTTTGACCCTATACACACATCACAAAACACAAAAACTTACCTTACTTCCCAGTCAAACGATTTCGCCGCCTAAATAGGCTCATACGACCTAATATTTTGGTATTTCTACTAGCAGGAATAACACCGCTATTATTTAAATGTCCATTAGCTCATCTGATAACCGCACCCTCAAGATCCCTAATGTCCGAGTGCATCGAAGTCTTTAACCTGTACCTCACGCAAGCACCCCGACCTATCAGATAGGTGCCTCTGAGACAAAAAAATTTTTAGAGGTCCTTGCAAGCTAAAAACCCACACTCTGACAGAATCGTTAGGACTATTGTCGCAACGGTCTAAGTCTATAATCTGGAAGTTTCCCGCTCCCCAGATCACCGTTCTTCTAAACATCATCATCGAAAATTGAATTATTATCAAGCACCTTCTTAACCCGAACGCCGCAACAGCACGCTGTATAACAATCAGGTCCAGAGGGGGAGGAGKACAAAAGTTTTCGGCGGACCGAGACCGTCATCGCTGTTTAACACTCTTTTGCAGTACCATAAAGGATAAAGACACGAACAAGCCACAATGTATGCATGCGCTCCTTCATTCTCTGTAAGTGTGAAGTAAAACACATCCTTCCACGCATAGGTAACAAACCTGATGCCGACGGCATTCATTCGAACAATTGGTGGACGTATCGGCGACAATCTGCTCTTAAGCAGCATTGYCACCGTTTTTTCTATCGATATGTCCACCACCACACCTAAACCGAAAGAAAGCACGAACGGGCGTTAGCTTGCCAAACACATGTTCGGAATATTAAAACAATGGTATAATAATCAAGTCAAGTGATCTCTTGCCAAACCGTACGAATATAGCTATAGAAACACAATTAGTTGAAATTTCAGTTAATTGCTTCTACGAAATATCTATATATAACCCTCTTTTTACGTTCTTACAATTTGCASGAATATCTTTTGTGCGGTTAAGCCCATTTGCCGCCTTTACCCTTATTTTATAAAATTCGCACTTGAAACTCTTTATTCTAAATTCTTTAAGCGCTGTAAATARGCTTCAAAATTGGATGTTATTGAATATTAGCGCATTTATGCCTGACGTATTATGTACTGTTATGGACTAAACGCATAAATATTTGTGGCACTTGATACACTTATAGRTATAAACCCATCTTTTTGTAAGCTATAAATGTATATATGCRTGTATATAGTATATGCTTATAGTTATATATAGTATAGTCATATAGTAGTTTTAATATTATAGAACTATATAAATTATACTCTGCATCGTATACTAGAAATAGTAGCAAGAAAGCTTGGCACCGYTTATTTATACTTTTACTCAAGAGCATAGATGTATAATACATACATACGTATGCATATGTATACTATGTACGTGGATGGATTTTTAACCAGCAGCTTTAAAACAACTTAACTTTAAACGAATTTACACATCTCTGCGCATAGTTATAGTATGTAATATATGTGTGTAGGCATACATAAATGCATATATATTCACACTAATGAGCACAAGCTAAACGCATCGAACCGGTTTCATTGTAAGCGTATTTAAGTGAGGAGGATATTGCAAAAATTCTYGAGAAATATTGTCAATATTTTGTAAATAAACGACAAGAAGATTMAATTTGCGKAATGCAGTACGCTTGTTAAGATTTTAGGAAATTTTTCTGATAAAATATGTAAATAGTAAAGTTGTTGTGAACACACTTCGTTCAAAAGCGCTTGGCAACCCTTGGCAATGCAACAATTTGTTATCGTTTACTATTACAATTTAAGCAACATGTAACTGTAAATAAGTAAATACAAAATTGAAAATTTAACGTAAGCACATGGCAAAAATATTATGAGGTGAGTTTGCCTGGATTGAAAGCGGAATGTTGCGTATACGCCGCGTACAAAGACTCGTTTTTCTCAAAAATTTTAATTGGCGCAATTGTTGTTTAGAATATAAATATTATAATTGTCAATTTGAAAATAAAAAAAATATAGACACGTGATACTCTGCGTTAAGCCATGCTTGGCGATTGTGGTCATGCCAGCAATTGTGCGCAGTGAGTGCATGTTACGTATACGCCATGTATGTAAACATATGTAAGGGTTATTTAACAAGACTTATTTTCAATTATTTATAAACAAAATTATTTATTAAAAATTTTACAACTTTTTTTAAACTCAAGTAAATTGCAACTCTTTGTAGACGTTTTATTTGTTTAATATAAAAAATTTGCTATTTTTCGAAAATAATGTACGCACGATCTCTTTGAATTATAACAGCGATTAAGAAAATATTAATAGTGTTAAGGAAATATTTTATTTATGTTATATAAAACTTTGTTCTTACTACTATTATATTGTAATATATATGTATATTTAGTATTAATCATAATAATAGTATTATCAATTTTTAATAGGTTCAAAGCATTTTCATAGTCTGCATTTATTTGTTGCAATAAATATTTGACTACAGCTTAAGGCAACTGTATGCTATTGTGATTGCATGTGATTAAATAATGTCGTTGAATTGCGTCAGCAAACTTGCATAAGCGTTTAGTAAATCACTAGTAAAAATTTTGATAAATTCAGAAATTGACTGGCAGCAAGTTAAATAATAAATAAAATTGTATATATGTGTAAACCCATTGAATTCAACAGCTTAAGTTGTAAACGAAAAGTATTACTATTTTTAAGTACTTGAAAATTTAAATAAATTCGAAATGTATGAAACATTAAAATTTGCAGTTCTGGTTTTATTCAAAATAAAATTCAAAGAAATGATAGGTGAAAGGTTTGTTATTATGTTATTAAATATTTGTAATTTTTGTATAAAAGAGGGAAGAAAGTCGCGCAAGCCACCAATGAAATTTGTGAAGTTTACGGAAASGTTACTGTATCAGTTCGTGTAGCGCAACAATGGTTCGCACGCTTCCGTGCTGTAAATTTCGAAATCTCGATTTACACTGACGGCGTAATGTGTTCGTTCAAAAGTGTAAATATTTGTTTATTTATTTATTATTATAAATATAARAACAAACATTAGTTGAAGTTTGATTAGAAATACGAAAATACTTTTTCGACTACGAATATTTCAATGATATAGCTACTTATACTATGGCAAATTGTAAAGAGATAAGTATTTTCAACTAAATCTTTCTAGAAAGAAAAATATGTGTGACCAAGCTCCCTGCACTTGCTTTTAACTAATCGGCATTAGAAAGCTGCAAACTAATCTTTATTGAGAAATTAGCACGTTAAAAGCTTTGTTGATAGTATRTTCCTTGTAATAATTTACATTCCAKTRACGT